ATCGCCATTTAAAAGTGATTCAGTTTTGTTCAGTTCATCGGACTTTAGTTACAGTTCAGGTAGGTCTGTACTTCTTTTTGCTAGTGAGGAGGATGAGCATTATTCCATTTATTTTGTAGTGGAGAGTCACACAAAACTTGTTTACTTTGGGGCTTTGACAAAAATGTAGAGGAACGTGAGATGGGTACTCCTCTCTGACATCTTCAGAGCTTACCAACAAGCAGCTGTCGGATGCTACAGGTGATGACTGTGTTCTCTGAGAATGGGATTGGTATTTCCCTAATAGATATATCTCTTTTATGTTATGTGGATGGAGTGGATAGTGAAATGAAATGTATTTGTATTTACTTAGAAATCAGAGGCGAAGACACAGTCATTAACTCTGCTTGGGGTTTAGGAGCAGAGGGGTTGCCATTTCTGGATAAGACCTCAAAAAGCTGATTTAGTGCATGATACCCTATTAGTTTTTAAAGAAGTTACTTTTTAAAGAAGAGAGTTGGGTGTGCAGATCACTCTGGCTCTCTCGAACTTTTCTACCTCCATCTTTTGTTGCCAGCGTGTTTCTTTGGAAATCTGAAATTAATGATAGCAACAGTCAGGACAGCTTTCCACTAGCTGAAGGTGGTTTATTTGACGATGTCTTCGTGCATCTGGACACACTGTTCCAAACCACCTTCATGGGAGACTGATCTTCGGTACACATCATAGGACCTAAGTCCAACCACCAGCCTGACTTCTTCAAAAACACAGGCTAGCAGTTTCCAGCTTCTTACTTCATCTTCAGGAACAGACCTGTGTTGACCCTGAGGCTTTAGAGAAAAAAGAACCACTACTTCCTGTGGTTACTCATCTTACTGCTACGTTTTTTTTTTTTTAAAAAGCCATGCCTACTGCATGTCATCAGCGGGACTGCCTTTTTCCTCTGGAATTTGGCCCAAATCCTCCTGTTCTGAAGTTCTTGATTCTTGAGGTTGGGGTTGCGTGTACTGTTCCACTTTTGTGCACCCACTGGTGTAATTTACTAAATCTGTCATTTATGCTTAATGTAACAGAGTCGTTTAACTGCAGGAGCTCACCAGTACAATTAACCCTGTTCCGTCAAAACGAGGAGCTGATTATCTTGGCATTCACAGGAGCATAGAGCGCAGTTAGAGTGCTGCGGTTTCTGGCCCTCCCGGAGCACTATTGCAGTCAATTGATTATTTTGTTAATTTGTTCTGCATCAGTATCCTGCTGGTTTATTATCATTCGAGTGACTTTATGCACCATGTATATTAAAAATCAATACTTGAACCTTTTTTCCTTGTAAGGATCTTATCATCCATGGGCTGCCTTCTTTGATACATGACTTTCTTTCTGATTACCACACAGCTAGTAACTTTTACGTGATTTGGTCACATGCTAGTAAAGTAGATGTTCAGATTTTGCTCTCTACTTAATCCTGTATCCTAATGAAGAAGGAATAAATGAATTAAGAATGAAATAAACAAAAGGCTGTTATTGCTGGTAAATAAGGCTAATTTTGAGACAGTAAAATTCGTGCTATTTTAGTATGAAAATCTCATTCCTTCACTAGGTTCTACCAAGTATCATGCTTCACAGACTCAAATTGCTAGAGGTGCTATTATCAGAAGCTCGAGTCTTACGAATGCTGTTTTTTCTGCTTTAGTTAGAGAAACAAGTATTTAAAAAGATGGCATGAGGTTGCCTTGTGCATTGCATTGAAGGCTGGATTCCAGGTCTGAACTTGATGCAAGTACATGGGATTATGGCTGTTACAAGATCAATTGTTTCCAATTATTTTCTGCCATTGCATGTGCAAAGATACTCTCTCCTGTATGTGTTTTTAAAACATATACCTGCAGTGTGATACTCCGTGCATTTGTTACTGATGTCACAGGGATGCCTGCTCTTCTTTAAAAAGAAAACCGTAAGAGAGAAGCAGAATCAGATGTGGTCCTTCTCCTGATCGGGACTAGATACGAAGGCAAAAGTTTCCAGCTCTGGAAAAACACCATTTTGCAAATGCAGATACCCGGTTGGCAAGAGGACTAGGATTCTCCTGGGTCAGCTATCTGCAGCCCTAAATGGGCAGTTCTCCACTCTAATCACTGGAATTGCATCATTCTTCGCCAATGATAAATTTTTTCTATTGGGGATTTTTTTCTGGGATATACAGGTGTTATCTGATCTTGGGATCTTTGCTT